TTAAATAAGGTGTGGGGCATCAAATTCACTGCTGCCCCTCAATCCACGAATACCTTATTCACTGCCACGTCGTCGACCTTTACCTTTATGAACAATGGTTTCAAGTGATACATCATCCCTGGGCTGGGTCTTTCGAACATGGAAGTTTGCTCTTCTACCACACCACTGTTCATCACATAATAACATAGTGGCTTGTCTTCTGCAGCTTCACCTGGCAAGAAATCATCATCTGACTCCGAGTCTTCAGATACCCTATCATATTCTGCCGACAATATTGACACAATCTCGCAGTTTACCACAAAGTCTTCACCGTAGGTGTCGTCATTTGTCTCGTCATACATGTCTACGTCCAAATCCTCTTCTGGAGATGGGGTGTATTCCTCGTCTGATTGAGGTGTATATTCAAAGTCTTCATCCGACTGAGGGTTGTATTTTGGATCTTTCTTGCTTTTTGCTCCAGCGGTGAACGTCGAATTCTGGGTCGACACCACCGCCCTTTTTTCAGAGACTTCCATGGTCAGTGTTGTGACCTGGTTTGCCATTGTCTTCTATTTTTCAACCCATCTGGTTTTTGGGGGTTGGTTCTTCAACTCGGGATTCCCGATAGGTCGTAGCTGCAAAGCCGATGCTTCTCTAACAACCTTTTTGTTCCGCTGATGATGCCTCCACTAGGTCCTTATCATTGGGTTCTTGCCTTTGTAGTTGGGGGACACCACATATCCCTTAGACTCAGCATTCTTGTCGGAGGATTTTTCCTTTCTTTCCAGATCCAGCACTCTCCACTTTGGCCTCTTGCTCCCTTTCTGGGTTACGGGAGCCATCCACTTATCCTGCGGGGTGTCAGACGGGGGCATAAAACTCTTGGGCCTTGCTTGTTGAAACAACTTTTGATATTCCTGATTTCGTCAAGGAGCCCCATCTTTTTCGAACACAAACCTTGGGACTGGTGGTCTGCTCGACTCGAATTTGTCTGCCGCTTTCTGGTCGAACACAGCATGACATCTGGGGCAGAGGGCGGCTTTAGAGCCGCTAACTTTGCATTTTTCTTAAAACTCAGCTAAGCTTTCCCTAGCCTGAGGGTAGATTCCCTCAAAGTCCTTTTCTGCTTTCTTGTCAGATCCCTCAGTAGCCTCGATCATCAGGCATTCAAGCGTCGGGGTTGTCATCTGCTCTTCAAGGCCCTCAGTAGCCTCGACCATCATGCATTCTGCCACTTCAGAGTACAGTGCTTCTTCCATCTTCAGAGGGTCTGTGTCCACTTGCATCTTTGGTCTTTCATCAAACTGGAGTCGTCCTTCTTTCAAAGCTTTCTGCACCAAATCCCTGAAAAGAACACATTGAGCTGTTTTATAACCAAGGAAATTATGAAATTTGCAAAATCCCCTCTTTTTCTTTTGTTCTCAAGGGGCATCTTTTGTCCTAAACGGGACGAGAATTTGACCATCTTTGACCAATAAATCAAATATCTCGTCGCATTTGGATACATCAAAAAAGTATGTTTTCGCAACATATTTGTCCGTTTTTTCCATATCGACCGGATTCTTTCTGTTCGACGGCTTTAGGACTTTGCACGCACATGGGGGCCCAGGTTTTAATTCGGTCACATTGACAGAATTTTCTTCGACGAACTCCTCGTCGTCAGATGAATATCCATCGGTGGCCGGAAACGCAACCTTTTCTTTCTTATGATATCGACTAGCCTGAGATTTCTTGCTCCTTAAACGTTCGACCTACCGGGCGCGGTCGGCCAGCTGTGCCATATCCCTAAGGTATTGTGTGTCTAGAATTTTCCCAATAGAATAGTCTAAACCTCCTGCAGCCATTTCGACCAGTTTGTGTTCAGGGACTTGTGTAAAGCATCGCACCTTCAATAGTCTGAACCTATTCAGATACTAGTCTACGGACTTCGCTGCCTTTCGTTTTACGCTGGCTAGTTCTTTCAAACTAATCTTTGATTGTCCCATGTAAAATTGCTCATGAAACAATCTTTCTAACTGTGTCCACGTATGGACCGACTGTGGGGGCAACAAGGTGAACCACGTGAACGCGTTCTTGGTTAGGGAACTAGGGAAATATTTCATTTTTAGGTCTTCATTATTTGCTATGTCCTAAGCTTCGGTCTGATACCTAGCGACGTGTTCGACGGTGGATTCCTCTGTTTCACCTGCAAACTTGCTGAATTTTGGCACCTTCCATCCCCTTGGCAACTCTGTTTGCAAAACAAAGTCTGATAGAGGGGACGTGTAGGTGGGTCATCGAAGGCTTGGGTTCACATTGTTGCGAACCATAATGTGCTCGACCATGGCCTCTAGATTAGCTTTGCCCCCTGGATTCTCGTTCCTAACTTGTCTGACCATATAATCTGGGTCTTGGTTCTTGTGAACCATCACAATGGGGGGCCTTTGAGCCACCCTGAGTATATGTTCGTACTCAGGCGTCTGTAGGTAGTTTGTTTCTTTGATAGGGTCATTATGTCGGACAGGCGTGTCAGGACGATTGGGAGGTGTCTGTCTTCCTGTGGCCTTGGGGTCCCCCAAGAAGTCTCATTTTCGTGTCATATGAGTTGCCAGTTGTTGGTAATCCTGAGTCGAATCTTGTATTAATGGTCTCAGAATAATGCCTATTTGCTGGGTCAGCATATGTACCATCTCGTGATTGATTTCGTCCATCTATTGTCGCATAACCGCGACAAAACTGGTGGTAAAAGTTAGTATCACGGTGGAAAACGAATCGAAACCTGGTGGCCTCCCCCCTTGCTGATTCACAAGTCCTAGGTTTCGATATGGCGAGAATGCTGATGAGGAATTTTCTCCCGTGCCTAGCCCATCATAGCATAACGTTGACATGAACTTTGCCGGCATTCCCAAGTGTTAGGGTGCCGACATAGTAAAATTGGGCAAGTATTGCCCTTTGACTCCCGTCATTGCTGGTCTTGCCTCAGGTCGACGCGGAGTTGAGAACGGTTCGCTATGTGCGGTCGAAGTTATTGTTGTGGATTCAGTGCTTACAACTGTCACCAGTGGTAAGACTGGATTCTCCCGCGAAGACGGTTCTTCGTTTTGTCGTGGTGTTACCACCTTTCCACTGCGTAAACACATATACCCAAACCTTCAGGTCCCACTGGACGTGCCAATTTGTTCGCACGTGTTTTTCTCGCGGACAACCTCTGACCTCCCGACGCGGATTTGCTTGCGAGACCGGACAAACTAATCCCAGGACTCAGGTTCTGGGTGTGTTGATTACTTAAGATTTGTGATGCACTCGACAGTTTTGTGTTTTTGACGGTGTATATGATAAAATTTAAATAAGTAAAGACAACAATGCTTTTAGTAAGACAAAGAAATATTAGAAGAGTGACATAAAAGTAAAGACATTGTTTTCATAACATAAAAACTTGGTAAATTCAATGTAAAAAAAGAAAGTACAAATGGGCGTGTTCGTACAATTTGCAAGGAAATGGGAACTCTTTTCTCTCAGTGTGCGGTACTCAGAGTGTTTCTCTTAAGATGTTGACAAAAAACGCTCATTTCTTCAAGGCAGACTTTGCTTTATATAGGCAAATAAAATAACCGTCAGATCGCTTCTGGTGCCGCCACGTGTAGAGCCACTACTTTCGTAACTTCCCCCATGTTCCCTTTTTCAAATCTATTTCCCGCCAAGCAACAAAATCCCTTTGTTAGGTGTGCCAATTGTTATCTTAATCGACCAACCCATGTCTTTGTCGATCACACACCTTTTAATGTGTTGTGGACGTAGACTGCGACCCTTGAGTCTCGTCGACTTCGACCCTTGAGTCTCGTCGACTTCGACATTTTGCTGCCAATAACCTTTACTGGCTTTTCCCAGCCAACAAATACTGTCGGTTTAGGATGTTTCTTCACATTTTCTGTCAACGTCGACTCCCTTGCTGTCGATATTTTTAGTTGGCTCTTTTTCAGTCAACAGTATGCTAGATATAATTTTGAGGATGATAGGTTAAATTCTCTCAGAAATACCACTTCAGTCCTTTATGATTAAGACCCGTAAACCTACATTCGGAGCCTCTAAGATTAAAGGTCCGTTTGTTTTGACTTTTTTTTAAATGATTTTTATAGTGTAAAATATTTTTAATGTAGGAAAATTTTATAAAGAAATTTTTTATAAAAGTTTCAAATGAAAAATTGGTTGAATATTTATTCTTAAAATGTTATTTTATGTATTTCATCATTTTATCGAAACTTTTTTTTGTTGTCAAAATTTCAAAAAATGACTTTAATTTTGAAACTATTTCAAATAGTTTTTTCATAAGAATAATTTTTTAGATGCAATTTTTTAAAAAAACTGTAATTTTAACTATGTTTTAATCTTCAATGTCAAAATTTATCTTTTAATTTATAAAAAATAAATTAAAAAAAAAACTTGTAATAGTTTGAAAATTTTTTCAAAAATACAAAAAAAAAAATTCATTTTTTTTAAAGCTAAATCAATCTGACCCTATGGCTTGTGAATCTGCATTCAGAAAATCGCCTTAGGATTCTTCACATTTTTTAAGATTTCAAAAGGCTAAATAAAACTGCAAATGCATAGAAAAATAAAACTTGGGACAAGCCCTCTTTGAAAGGATAAAATATTCCTAGTACTTGATTGAATATCTGGTTTGCACCATCCACATTTCACAGCTAGCTAGTTGGTAGAATGCATGAAAATAGGCAAGTTGATAGAATGCATGAAAATATGCAAGAGTGAAAGCTACCGTATTGCCATATCAACAAATATTCATCTTAAAGCCAAGATCTGAACAATTTTCCTACATGCATAGAGACAACTTAATACTTGACGACAGAAAACAAAGTTCCATATAATTCAATCTGATCTCATACTATTTATCACCACGCTAAAAAATATATTGATCCTAAAATAAAGCATTAAAATATCTCTGAGCAAAATCTTCATGATTATTATCAGATCAAGCTTAAACAGTTATAACTATGAAAGAGTGAATGAGAGAACCCGCCAAGCATTCATCTTCCTCTTGAAACTGAATCTTCCATCTCACCATGTGACGAAGGGAATAGCTCTATATAGCGACTCCCAAGTGTCATTCTATCCTTTGCCATGGCAGCTTTTGAATCTTCAGCATTTTCGAATTCCACATAAGCCTCCCCAGAAGGTCTACCCTCTGAATTCATTACAATATGAATTGAATCCTCTGACAGAGCAAAGTCCTTGAAGAACTCCATTATGTCATCCTTATTTGCAGAAAATGGTAATCCCCTCAGTCGCAACACTCCTGTGTGCTCAGCCGAATCTTTTCCATCATCGTATGATTTAGCCCGGGGAGCACTTCGACGAGGTGAACCGCCTCGAGCATCTGAAACCTCATTTGCAATTGCCTTGTAGTATTCCTGTCGCTTACTTCTGAAAACTTCAACATATCTTCTACCTATGTTCTGCCTGTTTCTTTGAAGAGCAAAATCGACTTGAAGTGGATACCCCAAAACACAAAAGCCTTCCCCAGAAAACTTGCCACCTTTATGAACAAATAGAACATCAACTATGTCTAGACCATGGAAGAACTCAGCCACATCGGTTTCAGTACAATCAAAGGGAAGGCCGCGCAGTCGAACAACAGGGAACGGCGGGGGAGGAGGAGGTTGGCTCACATATCCATATGGAGATGGATTGTACATATAACTGGAACCTGGGGAACCATAGAATGAAGATCCCGCGTCAACGGTCCGCTGACGTTTTGAAGCCATTTCCCGTCCATCGCCACCATCAGCAAATTTACTGAAATTTTCATCAATAACCAAAACTGAAGTCAATAAGTTTATCATTATAGTCCACGGACATTAAAGTTTAAGTACTCTAGATTGTCTTGTAAAATTTCAGTAATCATCACAATTCATATTAACTGAGACAGCAAAAGAATCCTGTCACAAAAACCTCAGGTTTGAAATTTGAAATAGGACACACAATTAAATTGAAGATTGAAACTAGAATAAAGGAAAAACTGAAATATCAAAAGCAATGTTAACATATGACCATTGACAATTGGACAATGGACAAGAATAAAGACATATTTAGAGTTATCTTTTCTTCTACCATCCACACCGCAGAAGTATGTAAGACATGTCACAAAACAAACAATTAGATTTCTTCAAAGTAGTTATGATTAGTAACAACTAGAAACAGTACATCAATTATTTTATCCTTCGTTCTGTAATCTCACCAACAACTAGATAAACAGATAACAGCGGTTAAACTTAACAGAGAGAGGAATTAAAGAAGTCCAACAACTATAAGAATATCAATTACAAAATGGTCACCAAAACCTGCTATCTTCAACTAGTGCAAAGAATATTTTTAACCAGACAATGAAATCAAATATATCGCATTAAAAAAAAAGATATAAAACAATGCTCTTTATAAAAAAAACTAAATAGCATATGACAGTGCAAAGTACTCAAGTAGCCTCTCATTTAATTCAATCTCAATAGTGACCATAACAATAATTATCCACTCAAATGTAGGTCTAATTTTATTCTAAGGTAACTGCTATTAAATACATATCCAATCTAAATTAAAAGATAAACTTGATCAATTAATTAAACATCCTACATTGAAAGCATCTACAAACAAAGACTAAGACCAAAGCTAGCAAAAACTTAATAAATTGCACATTAATTTTCGTTGAATATGAAGCATTCGTCAACTAAGACTCTTTCAATCATACCCGTAAACATTTGGGCACTAGAAAGTCAAATGAGCTCATAAAGCAAGAAAATATCATAAAGCAGCAAAGCACAAAATACACCATAATCACTAACAATCAAGATAGAGATGATCTAACTAAAATTCATTACGGAACTTAGGAAAACACGATTCCAAAAGCACATTATTGTTCAGGTCTCAAACTATGGGCTTGCTTGATGGTTGTAAGTTATAGGTTTTCAAATGCAAATTTGAAACGAAGTGTTTGGATAAAATGGGGTTAGGTTATTTTCTATGGCAGTTTTGTCAATTTTCAAAAATTACAAAAAAAACACACACCCATTATGGTCTTTCTATGACGGCAACAGAGGGTGCTACATTTCAGTGAACACAATGGAGGGTACCATACAATGACGACAAAGGAGGCCCAATGGCAGTGTCATAAGATGATGACAGCAACTCCACTGCAAGGTGTTGGGTGATGGTGAGAGCGTTAGAAGATATCAAAGAATGGTAACAGAGGGTGCCAAGGGGCAGCAACAGCAGTGGAGGGATTCATGTAGCAGTGGAGTATATCCGAAAGCAGTGACGGTGTTGAAGAGTGTCATGGCAGTACTTAGGAATTATAAGGTTGGCCACTGAAAACTCGTCATGATTCTTAAAAATCGCATAAAACTGAAAACTAGGTTTGGTTTTAAAAATTCTCAATACTTAACTAAAAAGTAAAAAAGCAACCCCAAGTGGCCTCAATGCAGCATAGTTTGTTACGTATAAAATATAACTTACATTTGGATGCATATGAAATGTTTTATATATTGAATCTCTGTTAGCTTCAATGATTTCTTTTCTTCTAACTAGCTAATGGTAGTATGGTTGCAGCAGTTTAATGAAACTGACTTAATGATGAATTGACAACAACAGTGTTTGTTGCAATATCTTCATCTGCCAAACATAATCATCTATGTGACCAAGTCAAGTTTTGAGAGGATGCATGCAGGGTAAAATAGCCTTTCCTAGAGGCTTGTCCTAACCTGCATAATCACTCAACATTGCATAATTTACCAACAATTTTTTTAAAAAAATCAGCCCCAGGTCCTCATTTAAAATGTAATTTTCATAAAACTAAAAAGCTTTAAGAAATAGAGAATGAAATACCCAGATACTCTCCCCCTCCCCCTGCATAACAGACTCCACTTTCTTCTCTCCCTGTAACTAACACTCCCTCTAAGTGGGCCATTGACATATGGCCTATGTGCATACCTTACAAAACTAGAAAGATAACATAAGTAACCAAGACCAGTGTTGTCGATGGCGGTCCATGGTGAAGGGCCAAAACCCCGCCATACTGGCCGCTTTGCAGCACCGATATAACGGATTATGGCAGAAAAAACCGCAATATCAGCCGATATTTACTATTGCCGGGAGTCCAAAAACCACCATGTATATCCGCCATAGCGCCACCATGGCGGATATTTAATAACACTGACCAAGACCATGTTAATACATACAATAAAAATAGCTCAGAAGGGTGTACTGTTCTGAATGCATCAAGCATGACAATCACTACTATCACTATGCACTCTAATTGACACTCTCTTCAATTTTGACCAAAACAGTTTGAATGGCGTAAAAGAAACTAAACAATAATAACATGTTCATGGAAGTAGAAAAATTAACAAATTCAAGAAAGAAAATCAGCTTTATTCGATCATATACTGAATTAAAATCCGAAATTAAACGAGATTATGAATAAAACCCTAACCTGAATTGGGGGAAACGGAAAGAGAGGGTATAGAAAATGGAAGAGAATAAAAGAAAGCAAAAGGAGAAAATAGGTTTACCCTCTGTAAAGCATTGTAGAGCAGGAAGATTGTGAGTGATTGGTAGCGCCAAGAAGACGATGGGTTTTCTCTCTCGCGTTTGCCGTGTCCCGTCGTCGACTCTCCCGTAACAACGTTAGAATGTGTGTTTATTTATTTGTGTATTTATATGTTTATATGATAAAGATTTAATTCTTTTATTTCCTATAAAATAAGATTTCAATTTTATCTTTTACATCTATGGGCGCCTCTTGAAAAAACAACTATAAACTTTGGTTCTTCTAATAGAGTGATTTAAAGTTTTTTTTAATGATATTTAAATTTAATTTGTTAAGATAGTTTATTTAATTGTTACATAGTGATAGTGAAAATTCAGATGTGCTGACATTTTATTTATTTATTTTTAATAAGATAGAGTTCAGCCATTAAATTACTTAAAAAATCGAATTTCATAATTATCATTAATTTTTAATCTTTTTTTATAAATAAATTTTCATATCTTATATTTAAATTTTTTTATTTGTATTTTTTTAATAAATTAATTGTTTTGTTCTAGTAATTTACATTTAAAAAAACATAAAAATGTAGACAAACAACATGTTTCTTTAACTTTCTTTTTCTTCGCCTTATTTCAAACACAACAACATTTCCTCCTTCTTAAATTCAAACTTAATGATTTTATGTAGTCTCCGACTTTGGTGGTGAAAAGTCTCTTAGACCGCTCTACCTTTCACCTTCTATGGGTTGTATTGGTGGTCTGATTGTGTTAGCGGTCTGGTTCCCTTTGCTCATGCATTTTGGTTTCGACAGCGGTTGGTATGGTTGGTTAACGTTCATTGCACACATATCGGAAACATGTTGGTTCAGGTTTGGAGTTGTGTTTCTATTTCATTAGTGGGATTTTTTCGGTCGAGTACTCTCCGGATTCTAGTTCTCTAGAGGCAGAGCATCTTGTTGGTGGACTATTGTGAGTTACAACTCGATTTCTTCCATGGTGAAAATATGACGGTTATGGCAGCTACTTCTTTTTCTCCATTGGATCTCTTAAACGACAATAGTTTAGCCACAGTCGCAACTTTTTGTTTTGGTGCAGAGTTGGTATCTTGACGTTTTGATTCTCTGATTATCTTCAGATCTTTTGAGATATGTCGGTTTCAAGATTTAAGGTTGGTCACCTCAGCGCTGATGTTGACTCAATATTTGTATCAGTTATCAAGATTGTTGTAAGATTAATTTAATATGTGTGCGGATCTATCTGTTTAATGTTGGATTGTTTGGCTCAAAAGAGTCATCTTACTCGCTGGTTGTTTTTTCAGAAGTTGTTGGTTCATGAATTAGACTGTGTTGGCGGTTGGTTCATTTGTCGTCTTGAAAAGTGAAAGCTCACACAAAACTTTATTTTTTGCTATTTGATTTCACGCTTTTACATGGGTTCATTAGATAGTGTATGTCGTGTGTGTGTGTGTGTTTGTTTTAGTTTATTTTAAACCACTTTTCTTGTATTTTAACTATTGTATGTCCTTCGAGACTTATTTCGTGGTTTGACTAAGTTTGATTTATGTCCCCCAATACTTTATATTTTCTTTATTTCATTATATATATATATATATATATATATATATATATATATATATATATATATATATATATATATATATATATATATATATATATATATATATATATATATATATATATATATATATATATATATTTGACTTATTTAAAATAAATCATTAAGTATTTAGATTATAATAATAAAAAAAATTGATCTCAACAACCGTCCAAATAAAAATATTAACAACTTCGCGCAAGATATCTTTAACTCTAAGCAACAATTTATTTTCTCTTTCTAAATATTTCAATTTGGTTTCTGTTTGATTCTGTAGAATAATTTAGCTTCTGTTTTTAATGTTTAATCCTTGCATATTTTGTGCTTGGGTGAAGCTTTTTATTATTTATATTATTCACATTTATAAAATATTTGACATTGTATTTTGATAATTAGTTTTCTAAAAAATATGAATGATTGAAAATATGCAGTCTTGATTTCTATCAAAATTTAGATTTTAAGAGCAAGTGGCATAAATAAATAATTGTATTTAAAATATACAGATATTTAACACCTATTTCTCTATTTCTCTTTAAATGGGTGTTGAATTCCAATAATTAACACTATATTTTAATAAATATTTGGTGTTAGTTGTTGATATGTCGTGCAAAATTAACCTATTTCATATCTATCAATTGATATTTAATACCGATTTTTAATTGGTGTGAAATGAACTTTCTATACCTATTTTAATACAGATGTCAATTACCATAGTTATAATACCTGTAGAAGTTACACCGGGAAAAAGAACAGGTGTTAAATATCCAAAAAGTAGGTGTTAAATCCTCCATCAGTAATAATGAGTTAGAGAAATGGTAATTTTTAATAATAGCAGTTAGTTTGAAGATAATGTTAGTAGAACATTTTATGATAGAAAAAACACATTATTTTAGAAGGATATACAGTTGTCTTGTGGTACTCTTTATGACATGTATCATATTGTTTGATTTAATGGTAGATAGTAATATTTTTGTGACTGAGATGTATAGAATGGTGGTGTGGAGTTGGCGGCGAAGGTTGAAGGTGGCGTTGGTGTCTATTTACGTGGGAGAAGGAAAATATTAGGGAATGTTGTTTGATGCTGGATAATTTTGTTTTGAAGGTTAATCTGTTGGAAATTATGGACAATCAATGTTCATGGGAGTGTTTCAATATGACAAGAAAATATTTAAGTGGAGATTAATTTTTGAATTCAGAAATAGACAACATTTGTGAAGTGTTGCATTAGGTTTGCATTCGAAAATAGGCAACATTCGTGAAGTGTTGCATTAGGTTTGCATTCGAAAATAGGCAACACTTTGTGAAGTGTTGCAAAATGTGAAACAGTACAACCTTTAAAAGTTGTTGTTGTAGGCAAAATAATGCAACACTTGGTAAACGTGTTGTTGTAGGCGAAATAATGCAATAGTTGAAAAATGTTGTTATAGGAGAAACGTTAAAATATTTAACAAAAGTGTTACTGAAAGTGTGCGTTTCATCAAGGGTCACAACTTTATGAAACAACATCAGTTTGGCTTATAAACTGGGCATTCTAGATTCAGAAAAAACACATTAAAAAATCACGCATCCTCTTGACATAATTCCAGACGCTCTTTCCTGCATTCGAATCTTCATTAGTCTTGTGCAGATTCAATTAGAAGCCTGAATTATCTAGAGTATTATTTGAAGGTGAGAAAATACACAAGAAGGGGGATTGAATTGTGTTTTTCGTTTCTTAACTTTGCCTCTGATCAGAGTTCAGAATCTAAATTTATGTTCAGATTCTGATTAATATGTTGCAGCAGAATGTTAACAGAAGCAAATAAAAGATAAAGAAAACGCAGATTTATCCTGGTTCATCTCAACTGAAAGTAGTTCAGTCCCCTTGCAGCGCAAGAGATTTTTCACTATAATCAAATCAGGATTACAATTTCTTATGCACTTAAGCATAAGACTTTTCGTTGCTCATACCCTCAGCCAAGACTTCCTGCTTAAACCCCTCAAGTCCAAGACTTCTGCTTAGGTTCCACGAACCCAAGACTTCCTTCCTCAAGCCCCTCAGACCCAAGACTTCTTGCTTAAACCCCTCAGGTTCAAGACTTCCTGCTTAGGTTCCACGAACCCAAGACTTATGCTCAAGCCCCTCAAGCCCATGACTTCCTTGCTTAAGTTCCACGAACTTAGGGCTTCCTTGCTCAGGTTCCACGAACCCAAGAATTCTGCTCAGACTCACAGTCTAATACTTTCTGATCAATCAACAACTGATCAAGACTTTCAATGCTCTACCACGTAGCAAGAGACTTACTTGGCTCAAGCTTTTCAGCAAGAGGCTTTGATTCTCAAGCACATAGCAAGGGGCTTTATCTAAACTACTAAATAACATGTTTAGAAGAATAAAGAACAAGGTGTACTTGATACAAAATCAGAGGTACAAGGTAATCACCATAACAAATAACTTAAGCACTTAATATTTCTAAGATATTCAATGTTTAAGAAATCTTAAGGCTTTGTACAACTTACCACATATAACATAATTTCTGCATACTCGATTGTGTTTCTTATTGTTAATCTTGTTATTCCTCCATCCAGATAGAAGTGTAAAACACTCTTATCCTTCTTGGTTTTCCTTCTCTATTTACTCCTTGTTCCTTGTTAAATATTTTAGTTTGAATCTTCAGCAGCTTATATAGTAGTTGTAGAAGACTAGTCGTTGGAAGAGATAACTTGAACAAGTGTCTTTGTTTTTCTATAATACAAGAGACGTTGAAGATAGATACACCAAAAGATCTTAATCCATTGTGTAACATGTTTAACCATTGCATCTTCTATGTAATCTTATACTATAGATTCGTTGAGAGTAGATATTCATAAATCATGTCAACTCTTCTTCAGCCTTGTAAACATAGACTATAGCTGACAAGCTGATTTGACAATGCAACTTGCTTTTTGTAGTACGAATATCTTTAAGCTTTATTACTAACTCTGAATGTTCATTAGAAGCTGATACATTAACTTAGTGTATAGACAATATATTTCTCTTCTGATGTTGTGGCCTTCAGCTTCAGATTATACGCCAGACATCACTTAGAGAGTGTTATTCAGGTTCTAATCCACCAGAGGCTAGTAACTCATCTCCTATCAAATGCGTCCTTATATCAGATTATGAACGGATTCTTCTTAAACTTTAGAACCTGCATACTTCGAACACACATTAGATAACACCATTTTTCTATCAATACTTTGTTATCATCAAAACTCAAGGGATATATGTCATGATCAAATCTTGTTCTAACATTCTTGCATTACAACTCTAAGACTACAAGATAGTGCTTGAAATACTTTTATGAAAACTGGCACCATTCACGATTCTAACCTCTTTCCATTCGATTTAAATTAATTTTTCTAACAATCTTAAAATTATTTCAAATAATAACAACCGAGGCT